CAAAAAAAAAAAAAAAAAAAAAAAAAACACAATGTTGATTTCATTAATTCAACAAACGACTGTTGACTAAGTCGGGATGTGCGGTTTATTACTTCCCGACTTTTGACTCTGAAAGGATTGTATTCCTTGTCAGCTTTGTGTGTAACAATGGTTCAAATGTTCTAATAAATTCAACAGATGACTTAAAAAAAAAAAACAAACGACTATAGAATTGCCGCTGATTGATGAAACTCATGCAATGCTTTTTGAGTTCCTATTATTACTGATGTACTAATGTATCATCAATGTATTAAAACAACTACATTAAATGTATTTGGATTTTCAAATTCTTTTTTTCTTGGTCAAACAAGAGTATATTTTCACATTCATATTGGAAACGAAAAGGTGTGTTTCTCAGATTTAGCACCATAAGTAAATCATAATATTAAATGCTTTATTTACTTCCACTTTTGAAGGGTAATATAAATAGATTGTATTTCCTATACATACAGTACATAATTAACGTCTCATTATTCGATCTTTCTTTATCAAATGCTCTATTCACAATCCTACCGAAGGAATGAAACGGCGTGTGCCAAGAATAAAGAACCGAAACCTGGTTGCTTTCGTAATATTTTTGCTGTTTTGTGTCGTTCTTCAAGATGGCGACAAGCTTCAAAGTGGTTAGAAACCTAGTTTACTTACGTTAAACGACAAATGTCTTTGTTTATTTTTAAAGTATTTGATTAATCTGATGTCTTATTCTCATAGCAAACTCTATATCGAGAGTCTACAACGTTCTGTTAAGGTTCATCGGAGACGAAGAGAGTGTATGGTTAAACAGTCCCGGTCCGATATTGATAATCTCCTTCTTAATGATCGCTTACCCGAAGCACTTCCTAAGGTATGTAATAAAATCTTTAGAATTAATTTTTGGAGATCCAGTAACAATATTTCACTTGATTATGGGCTCTGACTTTTAGTAACCATTTAATATTCTTATTAATCCATGTCTTGATAATAATTAGTTGTCTTATCTGACAATTAAATTTTCCATGATAATAAAACTGAAAAAACCATAGACGAAGCATTTCTATGAGGACGAGAAAAGGTTATCAGCTTACGATCAGGTCGAGTACTTCTGCACATCCATATTACGGAATTTTTCTCTTCTAAATCGTCAAAGGTTAGTTGTTTCACATGACTTGTAACACACGGTATCCCATTTAAAACTTGAATGGTTCCATAACCCTAATTACTTATGTCTCTCTCGCCAGCGATGTTCATCTCTTACCAAAAGAAACTAAAGAAGCAATGGCCGGACTGATATTTGTCGCATCAAGAATAGGCGGCGAGCTTAAGGAGCTTCAAATTATAAGGAGCTTGTTTGTTAAAAGATTTGGGCTTGAGTTTGACAAAGATTGTGTAGATTTGCGTCCAGGACACTTAGTGAGTTCGGAGATAGTGAATATTCTAGAGATGAATATGCCAAGAGATACATTAGTATAATTTTTAATGTGGTTAGATATTTTAAACAATTCTAAAGAAATTAAACTTAAGTACAAATAAAATTTATCCTAAAACTTGAATAACCCACAAATTTCAAGAAAAAATTTAAAATTTTGATTTCTTTTTGTATTTATGCATAGCTGCATCAAACGCTAATAAATGATGAATATCAAAGAGTTTTGATATTTTAGTTGTCTAAATTTCTCTAAACGTTTGAGATTTTATAGGTTTTAGTTCATTGATTTTGGTGATATATAGAGTTTTATTAAATTTCTCGGTTGAAAATTAGAACTGATGCTGATGTACCATGAACATAAGATTATTACATTAATATAAACTTAGAATGTGGTTAGGTATTCTTAATAAAAAAACTAAAGAGGTCTATATATAACATTTATCGAAAAACTCGATTTTCTTGTAGGGGTTAACCCACATATTTCAAGATAAATTAGAAAATGAGAAATATTTATTTTAATGCATAGCTGCATCATGAAAGGACATAGTATGAAGATTAAAGATGTTTGAGACTTTAGGTGCTCTCATTTTTCTAGAAAATATAGATTTTTTAGGGGTTAGTACACTAATTAGGACGTATCTGAATTCTGAAAAACATTATTCGTTGGAAAATTAGAAATTATGTACATATACCATTAAAATATGTTTATCATAAATTAGTATGAATTAGAGTGTGGTTAGGTATTTTTAAAACAAAATTAATAAGGCTAAACTTTAGTATCTATAGTATTTATTGCAAAAATCGATATTTCGGTAAGATAAATTAGAAAATATGGTATTTTGTTTTAATGCATAATTTCATCATGCATTGACATGTGATAAAAAATAAAGAGGTCTAAGACCTTATTTGTCTCTGTTTCTACAAAAATTACAAATTTTATAGAGATTAGTCCACAGTATTAGGTGAAATACTCCCTCCGTTTTATATTAAGTGTCGTTGTAGAGAATTTTTTGTGTTACAAAATAAGTGTCGTTTTCAGTTTTCAATGCAAAATTTATTAATTTTATTATGTAATTTGTTTTTCTATTGGTTAAAATATGGTTAGGTGTGTGGGTAATTGTGTTTTTATATAGGAAATATGTAAAATTAATTGTTTCCTTAATCCGTGTGCATAGCTGTAGAGTGACACTTATATTAAAACAGAGGGAGTATGAAGTTTTATTGAAATACTCTTTAAAATATTAGAAACGATCCCCATGTACCATGAAAGAAGTTGAACATACATTAATAAAAATGTATAATGTGAAGAGGCACTTTTAATCCACATGAAAGAGCTTAAATTTCAGTATATAGCCTTTATTAGAAAACTCGATCTTTTTGTATGGGTTAACCCACATATTTCATGATAAATTAGAAAATATAGTATTTCCTTTTAATGCATAGATGCATCCAATACAGATACAAGATGAACCTCAAGGATATTTACACCTATGTTGTCACAATTACTCTATAATATAGAGATTTCATAGAATTCAGTTCTTTGATTTACGTCATATATAAAGTTTTATTGAATTACTCGTTCAAAAATTATAATTTATGCCCATTTACCATAAAAATAAATTTAGGATACTTTACTATAAATTTTTAATTTGGTTAGATATTTTGAACTATTCTAAAGAAGCTAAACTTAAGTATAAATAACATTTATCCTAACACTTGATTTTTTCGTAGGCATTAGCCCATAGATTTAAAGAAAAATTAGATATTTTGAAATTTTTGTATTTATGCATAACTGCATCTAACACTAATAAATGATGAATATTAAAGATTTTTGATATCTTAGTTGTCAAAAGTTTTCTAGAAAATTGACATTTTATAGGGTTTAGTTCATTGATTTTGTTGGTATATGGAGTTTTATTGAATTCCTCGGTTGAAAATTAGCACTGATGTCAATATACCATGAACATAAGATTAGTACATTAATATAAACTTAGAATGTGGTAGGTATTCTTAAACAAAACTAAAGAGACATTTATCGGAGAACTCAATATTTTTGTAGAGGTTAACCCACATATTTCAAGATAAATTAGAAAATGTGATTTTTTTTTTTAAAAAAAAAAAAAATTCTGCATCAAGCACTAACATGGTATGGAGAATTAACATTGTTGAGACCTTAGGTGTTCTCGTTTCTCCAGAAAATAGAGTTTTTATACGGGTTGGTCCACTTATTAAGTAGTATATGAAGTTTAAATAAATTACTAATTGGAAAATTAGAAATGATGCTCATATAACATGAAAATAAGTTTAGAATATATATTTAGAGTGTGATTAAGTATTTTTTTTAAAAAAAAACATTAAAGAGGCTAAATATTATAGATAACATTTATCATAAAATTCGATCTTTTCGTAGGGATTAACGCACATATTTCAAGATAAATTAAAATTTTGGTAATTTTTTTTATCTGCATCATGTAATGACATAGTATGAAGATTAAAGAGGTTTAAGACCTTAGGTTAGTCCACTGATTATAACATATCTGAATTTGTAAAAAAAATAATGGTTGGAAATTTAGAAATGATGCCTATGTACTGTATGTTTATCATGCATGAATATAAATTTATAGTGTGATTAGGTATTTCTAAAAAAATATTAATCAGGCTAAACTCTAGTATATATAGCATTTATTGGAAAAAATTAGATATTTAGGTAAGATAAATTAGAAAATACGCTATTTTGTTTTAATGCATAACTAACTTCATCATGCACTGACATGTGATAAAATAAAGAGGTCTGAGACCTTATTTGTCCTCATTTTCTTAAAAAAAAATTACATATTTTATAGAGGTTAGTCCACATAATTAGGTGGAATCTGAAGTTTTTAAAATATTAGAAACGATGCCCATATACGATGAAAATAAGTTTAACATACATTAATAAAAATGTATTATGTGATTAGATATTTTTAATCTACATAAAAGCTTAAACTTCAGTATCCAACATTTATTGGAAAACTTGATCTTTGTAGGGTTAACTCACAGATTTCAAGATAAATTAGAAAATACGGTATTCTTCCTATAATGCATAGATGTCTTCAACAGAGGTATAAGATAAAGATCAACGATGTCTGAGACTTTTGTTGTCCCAATTTCTCTAAAATATAGAGGTTTCATAAGGTTTAGTTCTTTGATTTATGTGGTATATAAGTTTTATAAATTACTTGATCTTTGTAGGGTAACTCACAGATTTCAAGATAAATTAGAAAAAATAGAAATGAAGCCCATGTACTATGAAAATAATCTTAGCATGCATATATAAAAATTTGGAGTGTGGTTAGGTATTTTTCAACAACACTAAAGAGGCTAAATAGTATAGATAATATTTAACGGAAAATTTAATCTTTTTATAAGGAATTAACCCACATGTTTCAAGATAATTAGAAAATGTGAAATTTTTGTTTTAATGCATAGCTGCATCATGTACTGACCTTAGGTGTTCTCATTTCACTAGAAAATAGAGATCTTATAGAGGTTAGTAAATAAATTAGGTCGTACATAAAATTTTAAAAAATTAATCATTGGAAATTTAGAAATGATTTTTATGTACCATGAAAATATGTTCAGCATACATTAATATGCATTAGAGTTTGGATAGGTATTTAAAAAGATTAATGAGCTAACCTTTAGTATATATAACATTTATTGGAAAAAACACGATCTTTTCGCAACATAAATTAGAAAACATGGTATTATATTTTTAATGCATAACTTCATTATGCAATGACATGTGATGAAAATTAAAGAGGTTTGTGACCTTAATTTTCCATGTTTATCCAGAAATTACAGATTTCATAAGGGTTAGTCCAGTGAATTAGGTGGAATACAAAATTTTATTAAAATACTCATTAAAATATTAGAAATGATGCCTTTGTACCATGAAAGTAATTTTAACAAACATTAATATTAATTTATAATGTGATTAGGTAGTTTTTAGTCAACATGAAAGAGCTTAAACTTCATTATATAGCATTTATCCGAAAATTTGATTTTTTGTAGGGGTTAACCCACAGATTTCAAAATAAAATAGAAAATATGATACATTTCTTATAATGCATAGATGCATACAACACAAATGTAGGATGAAGATCAAGGATGTCAAGCATCTTTGTTGTCCGAATTTCTCTAGAATATAGAGATTTATAGGGTTTAGTTCTTTGATTTACGTGGTATATGACGTTTTATTAAATTACTCGTTGGAAAACTATAACTACTACCCATGTACCGTGAAAATAAATTTAGGATACATTAGTAGAAATTTTTAATGTGTTTATATATTTTAAACATTACTAAAGAGGCCAAACTTAAGTACAAATAACATTTATTGAAAAAACTCGATCTTTTCGTAAGGGTTAACCCACAGATTCAAGATAAATTAGAAAAAATTATGGATTTTTTATATTTATGCCTAGCTTCATCCAATATTGATATAGGATGAATATTAAATAGTTTTGATCACTGAGCTGTCCAAGTTTTGTCTAGAAAATAGTGATTTCATAAGGTTTAGCTCATTGATTTTGGTGGTATTTGAAGTTTTATTAATTTCGCGGTTAAAAATTAGAACTGGTGTCCATTTTCATGAACATAATTCTAGTACATTAATACAAATTTTAAATGTGATTATGTATTTTTAAACAACACTAAAGAGGTTAAATATTTTAGGTAGCATTTATCTAGAAATATTTGATATTTTCGTAGGGGTTAACCCACATATTTCACAATAAATTAAAAAATAAGATATTTGTATTTTAATGCATAGTTGCATCATGTAAGATCATAGTATGAAGATTAAATAGGTTTACGATCTTAGGTGTTCCTGTTTCTCTAGAAGATAGAAAATAGAGAATATATACGGGTTAGTCCACTGATTAGGACGTATCTGAATTCAAAAAAATAATAATCATTAGAAAACTGTAAATGATGTCTATGTACCTTAAAAATATGTTTAGCATACTTGAATATAGATTTAGAGTGTGGTTAGGTATTTTAAAACAACATTTATGAGGCTAGACTTTAGTATATGTATAGTATTTATTGGAAAACACTAGATATTTTGGTAAGATAAATTAAAAGTGATATTTTGTTTTAATGCATAACTTCATCATGCACTGATATGGGATGGAAATTAAAGAGGTTTGTGACCTTATTTGTCCTCGTTTTTATAAAAATTAAATATTTTATAAAGATTAGTCCACATAATTAAGTGTAATATGAAGTTTTATTAAATTACACCTTAAAATATTAGAAACGATGTCCATGTATCATGAAAATAAATTGAACATACATTATGAAAAATGTATTATGTGATTAGATATTTTGTTTTAATGCATAACTTCATCATGCACTGATATGAGATGAAAATTAAAGAGGTTTGTGACCTTATTTGTCTCCGTTTCTATAAAAATTAAATATTTCATAAAGATTAGTCCACATAATTAAGTGTAATATGAAGTTTTATTAAATTACACATTAAAATATTAGAAACGATGTCCATGTACCATGAAAATAAATTGAACATACATTAATAAAAATGTATAATGTGATTAGGTATTTTTTCACACAGATGCATTGAAATTCTAAAGTGACACTTTTTTGTAACAAGAAAAAAAAGTTAAAATGACACTTATTATGGAACAGATGGATTATAAAAATATGTTTTCTTTGATCAGACCTAGATCTCTCCAAAATAAAATTAAAAAATATTTTTTTATCAAACCAATATTTTTCTTATTAGATTGTTCAATTTCAATTATTTCAAACGTAATAATTCATATTACTTCTCATATAATTGATATTTTCGTCGTGTATTAGTGATCTTTGTGAAGATATAGTTTTGTGTGTGTATAGGTATTTTAATTTCTGTTTATATTACTATAGTTTTTTGTAAGCTCAAGAATTTAGAGCTTGATAGATTGTTGCAGTGAGAAAGCTTTGGTTCGTGATGTGTGTTACACATGGAGAATGATGTGTAACACAAGATTCAGAGAATATAAAGGAAACGCCAAAAACGATGATGTGGAATCTTTTCCATATGTTTGGTTGACGAAATTAAGAGATTTATGATGATTAAATATAGGGAAATAATATATTAAATAATAGGAAAAGATTATTTAATATATATCTTGGTTTTACTTAGATTTTGGATCTAGGGTTTTTTACGTTGTAATTCTCAGAGGGAAACACAAAGGGTTTTGGGGTTTCATAGCTGAGTGAATTGGTAGGCTTGATCAACAGGTGGTGAGGCAAGCAACTTGGGTGTTTTAGGAATCGATCCGTGGCGAGTCGTGTAATTCGGATCAAACAAATCTGTAAGAGATTGTGTAAAGGATTTCTAATAAAAGAGATAAGAGTCTTTTGGAATTACTGTGTGCACTATATTTCTCGATGTATCTCGTTTCTACAATCGGTATCAGAGCAGGACACCTAAACGAAGAAGCGTTCTTTGAACCAAGGTGAGATCTTGAGAAGAGAATATGGCGATTTTAGCACATAATATGTTTCTGCTGAATGATGTGAATTATGGGTATTGGAAAGTGAGAATGAGAGCAAACTTACGTGGAACTGATGAAGATATCTGGACAGTTGTTCAATCTGGATGGGAAGAACCATATGTGATGGTAGAAGATGGTTTGAAGACACCTAAATTAAAGACAAATTGGACTGCAACAGAGAAAAAGCTTTCAAAGTTTAATGCAAAAGCATTGGATACAATCTTCAGTTCTGTAGATGGTAAGCAATTTGAGCTTATACAGGGTTGTGAATCAGCTAAGGAGGCTTGGGATATACTACAAAATGCGTTTGAGGGTACTGCAAATGTTAGGAGGATAAGATTGGACTTGCTAGCATCACAGTTTGAAAATATAAGGATGACTGATGATGAGAAGATACGAGACTTCAGTGCCAAGCTCAGCTCCATAGCCAATGAAGCACAAGTTTTAGGTAAAAAATATGAAGATGCAAAATTGGTGAAGAAACTATTGAGATGTTTACCTACTAAGTTTGCAGCACATAAAGCAGCAATAACATTGACGAGGAACACTGATGAATTGAAGTTTGCTGGTAGGGATTTTAAAGGCTGAGGAGATGGAATTAGAATCTAAGTTGTTAAAGCCTGTTCAGAATTCAAGAATTTCAGTTGATGGGGAAGACATCCAAAGAACTCAAAAACTTGAAGAATCTATGCACCTAATGATTCAGAAACTTGAAGAAACCATGGATCTCTTGTATAAGATGTCCAACAGCAGACTGCCTAGAGAAGAAGAAAGACATAGAAAGCAAGAAGTGATGTGTTTTAATTGTTATGGTATTGGACATGTCAAAACAGATTACCCATCATTCAAGAGAAAAGAAATCAGGTGTAATGGATGTAATGGTTATGGGCACATAAAATCAGATTGTGTGAACACAAAGAAGCTGAAGATGAAGAGAAGTTGCAGTGATAAAAAATCAGAAGGAGAGGAAGATGTTCTCAACTTTGTGGCTCTTCATGGAGTTCTAGGGTCTGAAAAAGACATCACTAAAGGTGAAACTCGTGCGTCGTCTGTGTCACACACCAATTCTGATGCGTCACACAGTGATACAGAAAGTGATTTAAATGCAGATCTTTTTGCTGAGTATCAGGTTCTCTTTGGTCAATTTGCTAAACTCAGAGAAGAAAATATGCAGCTGATCAAAGATAAAGCAAGGCTGGAAGCACAAGGAAACATTCTAGAGTCCGAAAACAACAATAAATCAGAGATTGGGATGTCAAAAGAAGAGAAAGAATCTGATCTACAGAGTCTACATAAGACAATCTCTGAGCAGTCCTGCAATCTAAAGAGTGTGGAGACCAAATATGAGCAGACGAAACAACTACTGAATGAGGAACTTGAGAAAAATCAGCTGTTGCAAAGAGAACTCAGTGAAAATTACAAAAATTTAAGGATGTTGAATAAAGGATCTGAAACTTTAGATCACATTTTATCACTTGGAAAATCTCCAAAGGTGAATTGGGGTTTAGGTTACAAGGGTGCTGCTCCAAAAAATCAAGCTAGTTTAGTCAATGTTTTCAAGTTTGAAAAAGGTACTACCTCAAAAGTTGAGAAAACACATACATGTGCACATGTGGAAAAGGAACATAAAGCTCAGACAAGTGTTAACCTTCCCAAACCTGCAATAACTCGGAGAAATGGATGTTTGTTTTGTGGGAATCCTGGTCATAAAGTTGATTTCTGTTATTCTCAGAGAAACCAGGTTGAGAGAGCTTGGAGGATGAACCTTTGTTATGTGGAACCCAGAAGGTATGGACATGTATGGATAGCTAAAAAGGATCTGTATCCTAAGTTTACAAAATGTGTGTCACACGAGCATACAAGTGTGTCATACACTCGAATGGAAGACCAATATACTGAGCTTGAAGAACCTGCAGTTCGATGGGCTTCTACTAGAAGGTGCTGAGAGTTTTGATGGTCTAACAAGTATCATAAAGTTTTTCAAAGAGTTTTTCACTCAAGCAGGGGGAGATGATACTTGATTCAGGGGGAGTAAAAGTCTATACTTTTGGTGTGATGTATGAAGCATAGTGTGTTAAAGGTTAGTGAGCTTGAGTTGTAAAACTCAGTGAAAAAGGGGGAGAATGTAAGCTCAAGAATTTAGAGCTTGATAGATTGTTGCAGTGAGAAAACTTTGGTTCGTGATGTGTGTTACACATGGAGAATGATGTGTAACACAAGATTCAGAGAATATAAAGGAAACGCCAAAAACGATGATGTGGAATCTTTTCCATATGTTTGGTTGACGAAATTAGGAGATTTATGATGATTAAATATAGGGAAATAATATATTAAATAATAGGAAAAGATTATTTAATATATATCTTGGTTTTACTTAGATTTTGGATCTAGGGTTTTTTACGTTGTAATTCTCAGAGGGAAACACAAAGGGTTTTGGGGTTTCATAGCTGAGTGAATTGGTAGGCTTGATCAACAGGTGGTGAGGCAAGCAACTTGGGTGTTTTAGGAATCGATCCGTGGCGAGTCGTGTAATTCGGATCAAACAAATCTGTAAGAGATTGTGTAAAGGATTTCTAATAAAAGAGATAAGAGTCTTTTGGAATTACTGTGTGCACTATCTTTCTCGTTGTATCTCGTTTCTACATTTTTTTCTTCAAATTTGAAATTAAATTGAAAACTATAATCTTTTTAAAACAGAGCTCAATTCTGTTATAGAAATCAACTGATATCATTTTGATTTTATAAAACACTTTGAAAAGGATTTAAAAATTTAGATGAATCATCTCTTAAATTGTAAACTGAATCAAAACTTTTAAAAGCTCATATATTTCAAGCCTAATAGAATCGATTTCAACCAATAAGACCCCCTAAACCTACCACCCTAGTGGTAATACGTTAATTAGTTTCAGATAATTTGCTCGGACAATCGGACCTATATCTTATCTGATGTTGCAGTCAACCAAAATGGAGAGTCTACATCATCAGCTCGTGTTTGGTGTTCATCTTTCTTTCATCCGTAATGGCTTTTTGACTAGGAAAATACTCCCGCCTAACTCAACCTATAATCACCAAACACCTGTCCTTTCATAGTAGTTTCATCCGTATGAAAAATGCTCTACTTGTTACCATTTCATGAACTCACAGCCCATCATTCACTTACACGTGTCTTTTCTTCTTGACAAAATAAAACCCTTTTGTACTTTTCGTATATTGTCAAAGAAATATAACGCGTAAATTGCTGGAAAATAAAGTCTTAAACAATCAGATAATCTTCATTTCGACTGTGTGAACATTGATTCCCTAATTCTTGGGAAACCTTTGACAAGAACACATGGGAAAACAGTAAAAAAATCTTTGGAGGCGGATACAGTCACACGCACACATAAATTAATAAATTAAACTCTTAATTATTTTATAATAATCAACTTTCTTGCATAGGTTTCAGGTTCAACGAATCCTATAGGGATCGCATAAATCACGATAAACACAAAGGTGGGACCCATACTGAGGCTGCACGTTAACGAAGGTTGGGCGGCTGTGTTGTATCTCTCACTACGTATATTATAAATATACATAAGCACTTACAAGTAGCAAAGTTTCAAGATCTTTGTTGTGAAAAATACACAAAAAGAAAGTTCAACCAAGTATCAAAAAAGTTGTAGACGATAGTAGATAAAGAAAAATGGGTATCCAAGAACTTGACCCGTTAACCCAGCTAAGCTTACCACCGGGTTTCAGGTTTTACCCGACGGATGAAGAACTTATGGTTGATTATCTATGCAGAAAAGCCGCTGGTCACGACTTCTCTCTCCAGCTCATAGCTGAGATCGATCTCTACAAGTTCGACCCGTGGGTCTTACCAAGTACGTTACCTTAACCGGTTTGGTTTAACTTTAACCCAAAGATAGTCTATATATATGGTTGATGTAATTTATCGAGTTCTTGTTGTTTGGTTTTGTACAGGTAAGGCGTTATTCGGAGAAAAAGAATGGTATTTCTTCAGCCCGAGAGATAGGAAGTATCCAAACGGGTCGAGACCTAACCGGGTTGCCGGGTCGGGTTACTGGAAAGCCACCGGAACGGATAAGGTTATATCGACGGAGGGAAGAAGAGTTGGGATCAAGAAAGCTTTGGTGTTTTACGTCGGAAAAGCACCAAAAGGTACCAAAACTAATTGGATCATGCATGAGTATCGTCTCATCGAACCCTCTCGTAAATATGGAAGCACCAAGGTATAAATGTAATCTCAAATAAATAAATATATATATCAAACTAGTTTGTTTTGTTTGTTTAATAACATTTTAAATATATAATTTTTGTCACAGCTTGATGATTGGGTCTTATGTCGTATATACAAGAAGCAATCAAGCGCACAAAAACAGGTTTATAGTAATCTAATGACGAGTGGTAGAGAATACAGCAACAATGATTCGTCCACGTCATCTTCGTCTCATCAATACAACGATGTTCTCGAGTCGTTACATGAGATAGATAACAGAAGTTTGGGATTTGAAGCCGGTTCATCAAACGCATTTAGACCGAGTTTAACCGAACAGAAAACCAGGTTTCTAAATTTAGCTAGGGAGCCGAGCTTTGGGTGGGCTAATATTGGTGAACTTAGACCGAGTCATAACGTTTCAAGTCTCCGTTACGGAGACGGTGGTGGTTATTTTCAAGGTGTCAAGACAAATGAAGAAGAAGACAAGAAGCAGCAAGAAGCTCATGAGGGGATTCCTCGGTTTAATAACTCAGGTGTGTTGCTTCATGATCAGGGTTTCAGTGTTGACCCAGTTAATGGATTCCGGTACTCGGATCAACAGCATGATGGTTTCGGATTTATTTAAATGTGTAATGGTGACATACTAATAAAAAGAAACATAATTGTATTTTTGTGTATCAGATTGATTAAGTAAAATAGTGTAGAAAATTGTAATTATTTGGGGGTTAGGCTTAGGTTCCACTTGCATATCATTCGTCCTCAAGGGTACATTTTTGCAAACTTTTGTTTTGCTATAAAACAGGTTACGATATTTGTTATATTTGGTCGCCTCGCTTCATAGTTATTTTTATCGATCGTTTTATTATATCCGATCCAGCTATTTCACCGACAATAACATTTTTTGAAAAAGGAACAATAGAATTTTTTTTTAGTGTGACAGACATTTGGTTTTTGGGAGATATATAATATAGATCCATAATTTTTATCACTTACAAAATTGAAATTTCTTCCTAAAATTTTGGAGCGTTATTCATAAACATATATCGTAAACTAGTAACTAACAAACGAACATATATTATAATATCTTTCATAGTTTGTTATAAACGCCATCAAAGTAAAAATAAAAATAAAAAATAGATAGTTTGTTATCTTTTGCTGACGCTAACAATAGCCAGAGTACATGACCACATTCATATCTTCATCAGCGATGATGACTAGCCTAAACAACTAGTATATATTTTGTATTAAAAACTGTATATATAACATACTCCATCCGATTTCAAATTATATGTTTTAAAAGGTTTATGTTGTTTTAAAATATTAAATGTTTTGAAGTTTTAAGATATTTTTAATATTTTAAAAATATTTGTTTTTTAAATGTTATTTTTTAATTTTTGTGCTAAGCCAAAAGATCATAAAAAGTGGAGGGAGTATAATATAAAATAATTTAGCACGAGATAGTTGTGCATATATTTATGTACGATGAAATATACCAAGACGTAATGTTTGAAGTAGCAATGTACAGCTGTAGCCTCTAGTCGTAAAGCTTAAAACTAATGTTCAAAATTTGTTAGATACACTGTGTATATCTAAATAGATATGTGTACTGCTAAATGGGAATAGGATAGTGACGGTTATACATTGACCATCACTGGATGACCAAATCTTAATGACCACTTGGAGTTTGGAGATAAGATCGGACTGTTTCGGTTTTCCCGAAATTGCACGTGTGGTTCAACGTGGGCAGCTTCTTTGACCATCATGGAATAGTTTATTTCCTAAACTAGTAACAGTTAACGTCGTACAAGTTTCAAACACATGAACTAGGCATATGTTTAATCTGGTGTTCGGTCCGATTTCGACTCGATTTTTCTGATTTTTTGTTATCCGCTTTATAAAAATTAACTATCATATTGAAATCATATTTAATTTGGTTTGGTTCAGTATTTATACTACCGATTTTCGGTTTATTCGGTTTTATACCAAATTATATTATTATATTATTTAGTTTCATATTATATGAATTTTTAAAAAAACATATTGTCTAAACTATCATTTATTAAAATAATCCTAGATGTTTATAAATAAAAAATCTTAAATTAACAACAAATAAAATGATCAATGATTCAGTTTTGTACATCTTTTCTTATTTTCTCTTTGTTCTTCCAAATAAATTACATGGTACAATCTAATTTCACAATTTCTTATAACATGCAAAATCAAATCAAATTTAGATAATAGTTGAAGAAAATAAAATAAAATTATTAAGATATATTTTCACAAGAAATAAAAAAGTAAAAAAAAAAACTATTCCAAGAAAATAAATGGTTATATAATGTATATATTTATATATTTTTTCTTTGGTCGATTTTATTCGGTTTATTCAGTTTAATCGATTATAAACCTAGCCATATCCAAATCCTACAGTTTTTATAAAATTATATTCATTCGGTTTATATGGTATATATCAAATTCAAACCATATTGTCTATTTTAGTTTGGTACGATTCGGTATTACCATTGAACATCCCTAAGTCATAAACGCCTTTTTACTCGTCTATGCTGATTTTCTTATTTTTATTTTTAATCAGGGAAGATCCCACCGTTTAGAGCCAAAATAAATCTATACACATTTTCTCATTATCAAAAACTTGACAGATACATTTTAAATTAATTTATCTAAGTAATCAATTAATGTAATTAAATATGAAAAATTAAATATGAAATACATAACCATTCTACATACCAATATCCATTCTGTTAGAATATTTTTCTTTTTATTAGTTTGAAATATATAGAAATTCTCAAATGAAGGTATAACCCACAGATGAATCATATCTTCAAATGAAATTCAAAATATAATCTCATATCCGTAGGCCACATGAATGCAGTGTCAAGAATTACTTCAAATCTGAGACGTTTAAGTACTCCAAGTCCACATACCATTAAACTACCATTCTATAGTTTAAAAAGGGTCAAAAGGATATTATCTTACATGCTAATTTTGTTGGACGAAGCTCTACGCAACCCAATGGAATAGCAAATTCTATCGCGAATACATGAAAACGAAAGCTTTGAGTATAATACTTTTTAACCATTTTGCTTAGAAACGAGTTGTGGTCCAACTTAAAGATTTTATTTCTACGCTAAACCATTAATTGGTTTGACCATGCCACATGTTATTAGAAGTAAAACCGGTCTTCGGCACGATTAACTAGAAACATCTTTTGATTTTAGAAGCTAATGTATATATATATATTTTAAAAAAATTTATAGAAATGAAACTTTTATCAGTTAAAAAATTATTAAGTTTTTTACTATATTGTGTATGGTTCTCAAAATACGGTCAATCCATGATTACCAGTTATTATTACCATATATTTATTTAGTTGGACCAGAACAATGTAATTTTGTATCTACGTATTGGGCCGAGACCCAAAACTGGGACTAATTAGGCCTATAGATTTTACATTTAAGTAATGCCATATATTGAGCCTGTGAACTGATACAAACACAATAATTTCTGTATTTTCTTGTTTAAGAACGCAAATATCTTGATCGGGAATATAACTTGCAATCTAACTGTGATACTCGAGAGATTAGACTACATTTGTTTGTGAACTTATATTTTAAAGAATAAAACGTCCATATATATTAATTTTTTTCCATCAATGATAACTTTACAGAGTGTTAAAAGAGATGAGATGATATGATTATTTGAGATGCCTACATGATTTTTTGAGTTCAGTTTGTGATTTTATGTATGTTCTACACGAACATCTATTTATTTAGTACAGCGGTT